ATTGAACTCAGTCCAGTTTCAAAAAACTTACATAAATAATAAATTGAGTAATTAATAAATACCGATAATTTTTCTGTTCGAATCGCGAACGCTCCTTTTTTTTAAAGTGTTAAACAATAGGAAAGATCGCATTGATTCTTTTTCGGGGCAAAACCCCGGAGGATTTCGCAACGGCGAAACACGCAATAAGGACTCGCGTTAATTTGCTCGCCGCGAACTCGCTACGAAAATATCCGCGCGAGCGAGCGAGCGAGCGCGCGCTGCCAACATGTTTGAACAGAGGCGGAACACGTGAGGACGTTTAATTTCGCGGTAATTCTCTGGGACGGGAACGGTGTTCATGGGCTCGCAATACTTGGCTAAGTGACAATTTTTTATGCGGCCAATGAATGGGTAAACAGGCAGAGAAACAAGAATACAATGTGCGCCTACTGCGAGCGCTGATTCACAATGCATACGATGCACCGGCAGCGGTTGCTTCTGGCCGTACAATGCAATCACATAAATAAATATTGGGTGTTATTACTCCCGTTCGGGCACAATGGGATTTCGAAAATATGGACGAAGGAAGATCGAAAAGCCATACGATGGAATATTTTATAACGCCGCCGCGGCCGTTATTTATTTCGATCTTATCGTTTCCGTAGCGTTGTAAAACGTATAAGCGAGCCGATGCCCGATTTTTCGTCGCGTTCCGATTTATCCTTCGATTTTCCAACAATTTCTTGAATTTTAATAAATTCACCGATCGTCGACAAATTTGATAATATTAATTTTCTTTATATTATAATTTTTTAATGTTTAATCATTTATATGGTTAATGTGGAAAAATGATGCAGCAATTTTTACTGACGCCTCGGAGTCGACATTCCCCAGTGCAAAAAGTCGATGCATTGTTTATGTTCATACAACGACGACGATATTTAATTTTTTGCCGTGCTTCGACGTGCTAAAGATTTTTAACAATAACCTGTTAAATATGAATATTTGTCATTAATATTTAACGACAAATATATTATGTAAATGTATGATATATATCACGTATATATATCATGATATATATAATGTATGTATAATATATTATTAAATGAATATTTAACGTAAATGTAGGCACATCGTACATATAAATTTGCTTTTGTTTTTTTTCTTCTACAAAATTATTGCAATTCAAAAAGATCCGATCATTGTAATCGCGAAGTGAATTAACAAAAAAATGATTAGAACACTTTTCATTTCGAATAGGAAACAATATTTTTCGAGCTCCATATGTAATTAACAGACCGCGGATTTTTGCTTAATAATAAATAATAATAAATAAAAATTTCGTCAATTGCAAGGGATGGAAACCAAGCAGCAACTTCATTCTTCCTTTGATCGTCGCGATAGATTAAAAATAATAAACCGTCGTTTTAAAATGCTTTTAATTTTTACAGTGTTTGAAATTGTAACCAATTTTGCCATAAATGCAAAAAATCCGCAGGATTGTAAGAGATACAAGTCAAACGATCGTAAAAAACATCCAATGTTGCATCGACAGTGATGCTCATCATTTCGAACACCTATTATAAAGGGTTAAGTAAATTAGTAAAGTCTCATTTACTACCGAAACCATAACCTTTCTCTACTTCCTACGACCTCCAATGACCTTATGCAATAGGTCGTTGAACTCGTTTTAAGATGCTCTATCATGATACGGTAGCAACAACAGAACGATCCATTTAAAAAAATACAGGTGACCTTCAAATGTCCGAAGTACATCCACCTACAAAAAAACTATTAACGCCATCGAACGGCTCCCTTTGTACTGTGCAATTTTATTTCAGCAAATATTTCTGTGAAACTTATAGTTTCGAAGATATCTGGAATGCTAATAATTATTGCCCACCCTGTAGATTCGTCGCAGACGATTTCAGATTTCTCCTGAAACCTATTAACCCTTTGCACTCGAATGGCGACCCTCGGGCGCCGCTAAAAATTGTTACAGCATTTCTGAAAATAATTGTAACAGCATCAGATCTGTTTATACTTGAAAAAAACTGTTAAAATTGCAATTATTGTACTTATTCGCCAACAGATCGCGTTGGCGCACATTTTGCATGCACGGATCGCGATAAATCGTATAAAATGAAAATTTAGCTAAATATCTAAATATCTAAATATCTAAATATCTAAATATCTAAATATCTAAATATCTAAATATCTAAATATCTATAAATATCTAAATATCTAAATATCTAAATATCTAAATATCTAAATATCTAAATGTCCAAATGTCCAAATGTCCAAATGTCCAAATGTCTAAATCTCTAAATGTCTAAACGTCTAAACGTCCAAATGTCTAAATGTCCAAATGTCCAAATATCCAAATATCGAAGTATCCAAGTATCCAAGTATCCAAATATCCAAGAATCCAAGTATCCAAGTATCCAAGTGTCCAAATATCCAAATATCCAAGAATCCAAGTATCCAAGTATCCAAGTATCCAAGTATAGAAATATCCAAGTATCCAAATATTCAAGTATCCAAGTAGCCAAATATTCAAGTATCCAATTATCCAAGTACCCAAGTACCCAAGTATTCAAATATCCAAGTATCCAAGTATCCAAACATCTAAATATTCAAATATCCAAGTATCTAAATATCCAAATGTCCAAGTACCCAAGTATCCAAGTAGCCAAATATCCAAATATCCAAATATCCAAATATCCAAGTACGCAAGTACCCAAGTGTCCAAGCATCCAAGTATTCAATTATCCAAGTATCTAAGTATCCAAACATCTAAATATCCAAATATCTAGTTAAAAATCGTACAAACTCGATCGGAAATCACGTTCCATAGATCACGACTTAAAACATCTCCGTCCACGAACATTTAAGCACCGCGCGAACAATTTCAGCTCGGTACCATAATTCGCCATCATTTTTCGCACAGTGCCGGTGTACATCGTTCATATGCCGACGTTAAGTATGATCCGGTGAAATCGAACAATGCTCCCCCCGAGCATCGGCCGCCCTTACTATTTATACTTGCAGATCGGCGTCGAACTCAGCCGCGAGGACGTGTGAAATACATAAACTCGGTATCTCCGAGCGTCGACGCGTTCGATTCAACGATGCTGGCCGCGCGAGTCGCTCCTCGAATGATTGAGGACTATCTGCATTCACCGGGAGGGAGGGGGGGGAGAGGAGGGAGGCAGGCCGACGACGACGACAAAGCGAGAGGAGAATAGATTAATGCCGTGAACGCGGCGGAGAGACATTGTCATCGGATATCTGATGAGAGAGTTAAAGGCCAGGCGCAGTCGAATCCTTGACGGTTCTGTCGGGGATGACGTTACAGGGTGATGACATTACCGGCGATAGAAACTGGAGTCGATCGGGGTCTATCCCGGCGGAGACTGGCACATCGATATCGACAGATCCGATGCTTAATGCGCGATCGCAGGCGGCCGGAC